CAGAGCAGTTTTGGTAATGCGGGTCACGTGTTGAGGGGGCTGGAGGGGAAGGGATGCGACTGCCAGCCTGATGCCTTGCAAATCCGTCGTTATGCTCTCTGGGTATCATCCTGGCTAGTACAGACTCAGCCTTCAGAACAGCTGAAGGGGTTCGGGAACCTTTGTTCCAAGCAGGTGCATTTAGTATAATAAATCACAATTAAATAAGTATCAGCACATCATATTACACCTGTGAGACTTTTGTTTGGCATACTCCAAGAGCTTTCCAGTATTAAAAGCATCTACTGTATTTAATTTTAAGGGTTCATTAAAAAAGATAGAACAAATGCATACCATTGTAATTACAGTTAATAAACTATGAAAACTGGAAGTAAAATTGTGCATTGCATGGTAGTGGGTTTTTTTTTTTAGGTTTTTTTTTGTTAAATCTGTCCCCTCCCTTCCCTGATTTTTATTATATTTGTAGTCTGGTTCATTATTTTAATTATGCATCCACTGTACTATCTCTTTAGCAACACTTCCTTCTTCCCTACTGCTGATTTAAGGATGACTCTGGAAATAGCAAAATAAACCACTGAAATGATCCTTTTGGCAATCGTGCTGTCTCATTTCAGCGTGTTTAACAGCAGACTACAAACTTGGTGTTCAAGTAAAGGCTCTGAATGTGGAGAAACTCAAAATGGTAGCACAGTGCAGCCAAGAAATGTTTCAGAAGGACAGCTTGGCATAAACGGTTTTGAGCTGGAGGTGGTCTTGGAGTACAGCATCTTGGAAACTTTGAAATGATCTGAAAGGGGACTTCTAGAAAATGATTAATAGAAACATACATGTGCCTTGCCCCTTCAGAAGGAGGGTTGGAACTGTGCATGCCAGAGGTCACACATCGTTCTCAGGATGTTTTTTATTTTCTTAGATACCATCAGACTCCTACACCCACCCACCCCGCTTCAGGAAAAAAAATACAGTAAAAAATGTTAATTTAGTGGCAAATTTGCTTAGAATGAAATTTAGGATCCCTTGCATCCAATTTTATCTTATTCCCAACAATGAAATTTTATATACCTGGAAGTGGATTTCTAGCTACATCCAGTTTTGTTGGGGAGATAGGTGGACCAGCATCTTCAGAGGATCTTGAGGACCTGAATATTGCTTCTCCCTCAGCTTCTTGAACTTACCCATGCCTGCTTTATAGGCTTTTCTAAGCAGTGACGTTTCCACAGGGGGTGGGAGGGATGATCTCTGCACTCTGAGAATCATAAGTGACATGACTCTGATTTATATCATCTTAGGGCAAAGAAAGGTTTCCGTAATTAGGAATACACTCTTCCTTATATGTGTGGAAGTTTGGGAAAAATAAACTTTAAAAATCATGTGCACTTATTCGTTTCTTGATTGGAAGTCTTTTATTTATTCATTCATTAATTCATTCCCCGCCCATCTGGCCTAAAAGGCCACTCTATATATTACTGCTGAAGAGATACTTTGGTTTTGTCTGACATTGTTGCTAATGTTTTAGAGCAGGGGTGTACAACCTGCATTCTTAGGGCCACATGAATCCCTCCGTGGTCTTGTGCAGTCCCTGAAGACAACTGTGCTGCATCACAGTTGCTCCTTGGCTGTTTTCCTACCATTAGCGGTGGCAGGAAAAATGGTACTTTTGGTAGATATAACTAGCAACAGATAGTTCTGCCCCATACTTCTGCTTCTGAAAGACAAAGCGCATGATACGCTTAGCATGTATCTAAAGGTATGCTCTATCAAAAAGTGAAAGGCATCTGTTTGTCATAGGCCATGCTCTTCCTCATTTCCATATTTTGCAGGAAGCCATGCTTTTTTTAAAAAAACTGGTCACTGGAAGGTTAACACAAGGTTACTTGGATTGGAATCCTGTTGCTGGAGGAAGCACAACCTAAAGTCAGAGAACGCCCATTCCCTTTACTCTCTCATTTGATCTCTGATTGCTGTTTCCCCACCATTAGTAGAAACTACGCTATTGAGTGCTGGGAGTGGCGGTCTTGTTGGTGATTACTAGATTTAACTTAAACGTGTATGCACACACATGCAGACACACTCTAACAACTCATGCGTATCAGTGGACTTGGGGGAGTTTAAAATCTTTCCCTGTGTGTGCTGAGGTACGTGAAGGTGTCGGAACTGTGTAGAAATGTTTGTTCATGAACCATGTCTGTATATGCATATATGAAGTCCATGTCCCCCAGTCGACACCACTGGGCAAGGGGTCATGTTGAGGCGAAAGGTGTGAATAAATCAATAAATCAATACTGGCTTAGAGGGGTAATGCTAGTTCATACTGTTTGGAGGAGCCGACTCTGAAACCTGTGTTCTGTTCTTCAGAAGTTTCAAACCACTTAAATCCCACAGAAATTACAAGATTCAATACTTACTTGAGACAGTTGCTGGTTTTTTTTTTTTTTTTTGAGGGGGCAGCTAATAAGTCAAAAAGGAACAGAAATTAAAATAAGATTTTAGAGGGCAAGTCCTGTCTTTTGACGTCTGCGTGCTCCATGTCTGGAATGCTAGACATATTCAGAATCCTGGCGAATCCCTTCCAGTTAGGCAAGAAGTGAGGAAGGAGTTGTGTTTTCATCCTTCCTCCATTTTGTTTTTGAATTTTTTGAACACTCTCCCCTTCCTGTTATTTGCAATGGAAGGGAAATGTGTTGCAGCAATTCCTATGCTACTGTAACTTTTCCTAGGAAATGCAGACGTGATCCAGGGCTAGGGGAATTCCACCCTTTTCTACCCAAAGATTCTACCCCCGCCCCCAACCCCTATGGTACAGAAGAGACAACCACATCTCTTCCTAGAGGGGCAGAAAGCACAGGTTTAAGGTTAGATCCTCTCTGAGGTTGGAGCTTTCTGTCCTTAGAGAGATTTCAGTATTTCCTTTGGCTATCACAATGCTATCCCTGGAACCCTAGGTATGCTCTGCCAGTGCTTTATGTTAGTATGGCACTAAATATATACAGTACATTTCATTATTGTACCTTGTGACTTCAATTGCCATTTGTGTTTTGTGAATTTGGCAAGCCACACACTTCTTCTGCTTCTTTTAATTGGAATCCTCCTGTCACTTTTATCTTCTGTCCATGAATTTAATTCCTTTAATGGGCGTTGCAACCTCCTATGATCCATTGGTAAGATTAACTCTAGTACTATATGTATAAGAGACCCACTATGTATGTATCTGCAGTACTGTATCTGAATATAAGAGTGAGAGCATAAGGCATGTTCAAGCCTTGGAAGATACAGGTGGGTGGGTGGGTTAGAAAAATGTTGACTCTCTTGAGAACATTCAGCTACGGAAATTGTGAAGTACCTTAAAAAAAAAAGATGCGTGCATGTGTGAAGATCTACAGCTATTTATTTCCACAATTTTACAACATTAAGAAAATCTGCTTCATGAAACTAAAATAACAGGCAGGCAACTTGATCATGGCCAATGTTCTCTTAATTATCATCTTTGTGTAAATCAAGTATGATAGATTTCAATATGAAATGTGAGTTAGTTTGTTAAATGCTTAGAATGGGAAAAATAAATACTGTAAATTCAATGGCCCTTTTTTGGTTTAAAAAAAAGGGTAGTGTTATGCAAGACCATCTCCAATGTTATTACAAATTCATAGCAGTGTTCTTTCTGAGACAGAATCAACACTTTCTATTTTTAGAATGCCTTTTCAGTTCCAAAGAGCTCCAAAGAGCTTCCCAAAGAAATTATATCCAATATAAAGTGAAATGTGTGACATAATTAAGCAAAAGTGTAGGTGCATTGGTTACATGGATACTGTTGTTCATTCTGATTTCTCTTAATTTTTTCTATGCACCCCACTTCAAAATTAGTGCTTTGTTGTAAAGTTGCTACCTGGCCAGAAGCACACCTGCAGGTTAAGTAGAAAGATGCATCCCACAGAGATAGGGATAAATATATTTTCTGTGAATAAGGATGCCCCTGCTCTGAAAAGGTGCTTATGATAACCAGATAAGTTTTAAGGGTCCATCCCAAGAAAAGACCAGATGGCCAATTGTACTGAATGTAGTCAGGTGTAATCTGTCATGGGGTCAAGAAAGCTTTTCTGAGAGAGGAATTGGTTTCCTGTTTGTCAGCTGTCAAACATCTTTTGTCTTTGCTCAGAGCCAATTATATAGTTAAGAGAGATTGCACTTTAAGGTTGCCACTTGAACACGGTGAGACATCGTGTGTATGTGTGGGTGTAGTAGTGTATTATGTGCACCATGGTACCATTGCAGTACTGTATATTTTCTTTTAAAAAGGAAACCCACTGCTGTAGCAATGTTGGACTCTTAAGTAGAATGAATATGCAGGAGAACACAAACAATGCGTTTCTTCTAGCAATCATACATATTTAAGCTTAACCGGGTAGCAATACCTTTCCTGATAATGACTGCAGCCTAGTAATGATTACTTTAATAATCTGCTCTGTGAACCTTTTCAAGTCATAGTTTTCCCTGTTTTTCAGATTCTTTCACTTCTTTATCT